AGAATTGCAAGATCACGTGTGACTTCGGCATTTCACGCGATAAAAACCAATAACGAGCAAGGTGAAAGACGCATCAGTCTATTCTGGGATTCATGGCCGATGGAGACGCACCCATCCACTATAACACTGGTTAACTGGTGCGTTCTTTACTTCTCAGACATTATGCAATGATTACGCGTGCAGTGAAAAGGCCCGGTTGTGACTGTTTCCATACATTTGAGATGAGACACACACTGATCACTGTGGAACAATCATTTTATCAGCGGTCTCTAGTAGGATTGAATACCTTGTAAGTTGTACTCTGGGGAAACGAAGCCCAGAAGCGCCTTCATCAGCATGGAGAAATCCGCCGGAGAGGACAGTAGCTTCAGACGACAGGAGTTGGAGTCTTATTTACTGATATTTGGACATCTTTCTTCTGATTGGCTAACAGCAACACACATCTACCACTGACTCAGTTTGCTCTGCAACGTTGATGTTTTATCTCCACAAATAACACAAGCCTGGAGGAGTTCTGCTGTGTGGTGGAGTTGCTAATGCCAACAGTTAGCTTCTACTAGCCAAGAGGTTCTCCACTGTTTCCTGGACGCTAAACCAAACAACAGCCTTCCCCGTCGCGAGTCGAGATGGGTGAGTCCATGAAAGTTAAGTAACAGATAGGAGATAGGTGTAGGAGACTATTTGTTCAGCCTACATGACTAACTCAAAATGACTCAATTATAATCAGAAATAATAATAAAAAATGTTTTGTCAGTGAACCACATCTTTAAAGTGGAACAAAACGTTGACTTGATGATTTTCTCCACCTTTGTGCTTTTGAACATAACTTTACTGGGAGTTATGTTAGCATTACTAGCATCCGTAGCATAAGGTGGCTAATACAGCATTTTCTTACATGGAATATGATCTTTTGATTTATTCCGGTCATTTGCAATATTGATAGAGTGCACACTGAGATGACTATAAAAACGTTTTTTCTCTACGTAATGTGGTTGTTTGGTAATAGAGATGCAACAATTCTAGTTTTTTTTAGGGCGATACTGATTTTTATACAACTGCAGATTCTAATTCATGTATATAAATCTACAAAAATTCACATAACATCTTTTTATTTTGAATATGTAATTAGGGTAAATGTTAGCATTTAGCCTTGTTTCGCTGCCTGGCACTGGTGCATTTGAGGAGCCCCTAAAATAAACCGATTTTTAACTTTAGATTATGTTGATCATGCTGAAAATCTAACCCCAGTTTCACACTGCAAGCATCAGCAAGCGGAACAGTAGCGGAGCGGCTCACTCGCGAACTTCAAAGCGGTCCTTTTCACACCGGGAGAGTCTTGGCCGCAGCACGGCTTCCTCGCTGCGCCTCGCTGTACTCGCGAGATTCTAAAATCCCTCGAGACTTCTGACACTTTGCTCATCTGGAGATCACAACCCCCATGAGGAATCACACCGTTGCATTTCTTGAAAGAAACTGGCGGTAAACAAAGCCATTCGGTCACACGTACTGACGTAAGTTGTATATAACATCGCAACGTTGCATTTTATTTTGAAAATAACCAGGGATTTTACACTGAAACCGTGTGGTTTCCTGCCTCACACTATGTGGACTGCGGAAATTGACGTGTCCCAGAAGCGGCGCATGGAAAAAATAGAACTCGATCCTATCTTTAGCAGCGCGGCGCGGTGCGGCATGCCGCTTCTGGGACGCACCGGAAATTTGCCGCGTCGCGGCTGGTTTGAAACACTCCATAGACTATAATTGGATACTATTTGAAGCGGTGCCGCTTCGCTGCCGTTCCGTTTCGCTGATGCGTGCAGTGTGAAACTGGGGTTAGTCTGATCTCTACCTGACAGTTAGGTGCATGTCCACTTTGTAACTTGCAAATTAATTGTATTTTTTGCGCAATTTGCAGACACCGAACTAGATTTGGATGTGGTAGTAGCTGCGTGCAAGGTTGTGCATATTGTTAACGTCAAAATTATTTTGGTGTCTATGAGCTCATCGTTTATTCACCCTGACATCTCCACTCGTACCGGTGATGCATATCCAGACCGAGACTATGAACACATTTTATTTTCTCTGGTTTGAGGGTGGGTGTAACAAGCAGCTTTTCCTCTGCTGGTCCGTCCGGCCTCTGCAGTCTCTGCTCTCAGACCCTGGTGTTCGCTGCCGTTCCTCCTCGCTGCCTTTGTTCCGGTGCTGCTGCAGAACTCGGCCCTGCCTGCAAATGAGCACCACTGACAGAGCAATTATTCAGCACAGGGGCAAGCCCCACACCCCTCACAGATACAGTCGCATCCACTGTCATGTTTGAATTATCCCTGCACTCATAAACATCTTCCAGCAATATGAAATAGAGAAATAAGATGAAATGCACCTTTGGAGATTTGTACAAAGGTTTTTCTTATGTTTGGAGTCAGTTTCTTCGAGCTTTTTGAGCTTTGTATCAGCTTTAAACATGAATTAATGGGACCGATGAGCAAACGTACACATTTCTTTGGCTCAGACATCCCAACCCCCATCTCCACCCCTCCGCTTTGCAGTGCAGACGTTGGCTTCAGCCTTAAACGTGTGTGTGTGTGTGTGTGTGTGTGTGTGTATGTGTGTGTGTGTGGATGGGGATGTAAGGTGGTGTGCCGTGCGGCTCGTTGTGTGTAAGGAGGAGGTGTGTACGCTACAGCTTGCCGGCTTCCTTCGCCAGTAAAAGAAAAAAGCATTTCCGAGCCTGCTCCTGTGTCTGTCTCTTATCCCTTCTTTCTTCTCCTCTTTCTGCAGAAGCCGCTGCCTCCTTTTCTTCCCCTTTGCAGACAAAAAGCTGGACCCGCTCCACCAGGTGAGGTTTCTGTAGAGATGCATGCATTTGCACCATTTTCCCCCCATTTCTAATTAATTATTCCCTCTTTATCTGCTGGCTTTTGTTTAAAATATGCATAATATTTGCTGCTGACATTCAAGCCGTTGAATAAAAGAGCCAATGTCCTGATAAGCCCGAGGCTGTTTCTGGTTTTGATGACCTTTAGTCTTCTACGTCTAGACGAGACTGCCGCAGCTCTGCAAAAAACAAAAAAAAAAAAAAAAAAAAAAAAAAAAAAAAAAACATTTGATGACCAAAAAAGTATTTAATTTTGAATGTTTTTGGTATCTTTAGAGTCAGAGGTTGTGCTGGCATGTGGTAGCTGGTGGTTAGAGATTCGTGGTTGACAGATTGTTGGTGGTTCCCTTAGTGGGATGGACGCTGAGCCAAGCAAGACCACAGGACACACTCCCTTCCTGTTGGCATCACAAGTTTGTTGACAGCTGTCAGTCAGGATGAATTATGGAAATTTAGGATCCTTCTCTTTCATCTGTTTCTGGTTCTCTACTGTTCTGTTTGTCATTGATGGTTCCTCATATTGAGCAGGCAAGAAAACACAGGTCAACTAGCCCAGAAACAAGGTTTACTGCAGCCTACAGTACAAAATAGTTCAGCTTTCTAGTATCCATCTCTTGTGTGATTGTGTTACAAAATCAAAATATTCTTGCAATAATAAACAGAAGTGAGAAAAATAAATCCTGGACTGCAATACAGTATGCTATGGTATGTGGGATAACCTCAAAATTGTTTAACATTTTTAAATTTATTTTAAAAATTAGCCCAACTTTTTAAATTTTTTACTCCAATTTTCTTTTTTTCTTCTTCAGTGTTTTAAATTAGATTTCAGTTTTCCCAAATGTTCTCTGGTTTCTTAATTAAGGCTTAGTTCACGCTTCAGGTACTTTACTGACATCAGATTTATACATTTTGAACACCGTTTGCCGTGTTTATGTAAAGAAGTGTGGATGCTACACTTTGGCAATTGCGCTTTAAATTCTTGTTCAATTGGAGACGACAAAATTGTGATAAAGAAATCTTGGAGCTCCGACACAGGTTTGTGTGTTTACAAACACATCTAATAAGTCGATCTAGGTCAATCTAAAGTAATAGTCTTCGAGTCTTTATCCGAGTTTACATGCATGTTAGGAAACAGAACTCTCAAATAAAGTCAGTTTCACTCCGGTACCATAGGTGGTGACACTTACCCTTTCAAGTCAGCTTTATTCCGGTTAGCTTATAGCAACACAAACAGTGCACAAATGCTGGCAGGAGCGAAGCGGACAAAGGTAAACCAGGATATGCACAATGGCTGAAGGAATGGACAACAACACTGTACAGCTTATTTGGTACATACGGTCCTGTTTGATGGTGCTACACGTGTTGCTTTGTGGTGATGATAATTTTAGAAGAGCATTTCCGCGGTCTCGTCTTTTCTGGAAGCTACTGGTTCAGCACGACTGAGCCGTTCACATGCAGGTTTTCTTCAGCATGATACGAACCAGTTCACATGACTAGCATGTTTTTATGCATTTAAACAAAACAACGTCAGTCTGTTTAGGGCAATGGTTCTCTGATGTGCCGCTAAAGACACCGAGTGATGTGAAAGTCGGATGTAATGACAACATTTGCAAGTAAGGAAAAACTGAACAAACTGAGACACTCTTTGACACAGTTGAGACAAAAATTCATTACCATCATTTCTGGACTATAGAGCGCACCTCAATAAAAGCCGCACCAACAAAAAAAAAGGCTTTCTACACACACATGCCGTACTCGAATACAAGCCGCGGCGCGGCAGCCACATGCAGGTCTCCGGTGCACAGCGCATGTACGGCCATAACATAAGATAATTAGACAGAAAGACGCTACACGGAGGTTTTTCGTTGTTTTAATTCAGCAAAACTAATTTTAAACACGGGTGAATGTGCCTGCAAGTTTAGAAAAGAAAACAGCGCTGACAGCATTCATATTTCTGGATGGTTATAAAATAAAAACAGCACTGACACGTTATTAACGGTAATTTGCATGTTTAGAAGAAAAGAACAGCGCTGACACAGCATTAATAAGCCCTGGATGATTAGAAAATAAAAGCTGCACACAAAACATGCCTGGTTAGTAAATAAAACACACTTGCCTACCAGAAGAAGTCATTCGCTCTCATCTTCCTCTTGCGCACTAAAGCCATTAAAGTCATCTTCTTCAGTGTCGGAGTTGAACAGCCTCAGAAGAGCTTCGTCACATACCTTTTCTGTGGCGATGTCAGTGTCGCTGTCCGTGTTGCTGTCATCATCCCCGGATGAAGCTGGCTTGAATGAGTTCTTCCCGCTGCCGTCTCCAGCGCTGAACCATGGATTCATTCATGCCAAGCTTACGTGCGGCAGCACGGTTTCCCTCCTTTACTGCCAGATCGATGGCCTTCAACTTAAATGCAGCAACATATGAACTCATACGTGTAGTTACCATGATGAGGGGGTATGGATTTGAAAAAAATTCTTCGTCATGCCGGCTGCTTGCATGTGCTAAATTAAAATGAGCACTTTCTTCGATTTCCACTTTTGACTTCCACCTGTTTCACTTTCTGCTAAAGCGCCCTCTGGCAGGTGAAGGAAAATCTTCAGTAAAGCCGCACCTCATTATAAGCCGCATGGTTCAAAGCGTGGGGAAAAAGTAGCGGCTTATAGTCCGGAAAATACGGTATTTCAAACAGTGGTTTTGACTTATCTTTACTAACCTTCACTGCAATTAGATGCCAGCTGTGACAATAAATGTTTTACTAAAACTTCATGTTGTCACAATGTGAAAGCACAGTGGTGGAACTATTATAGTTTGTGGATGGGTAACTTTATTGAAATTAAAGCTTTAGATGTGACAGTTTAGTCTAAAATGTTAAATTTAAACTCGGGTTTTTGTTTTGTGTGACAATCCTTGAAGGGCTAGTTCAAGTCCAGACTGGCAGGCATCCTTATGAAGAGTAAGAGACAAAAAATTATTTAAATGAGAAACATTTTATCTTACCCAACTGTGGAAACACATACATTTTTGTTTTAATCACTATGTTGTTTCAAAGAGGATCGGATGTTTATGAGACCGTCGGCTGAAATCACGGGATGTCTGGTTTCATCTACACTGACATGTTGCCCCCGCCCCACCCGGTTTTCGTCTGCCTCCATGGTTGCTGGGCAGCTCCCAGGCGAGCTGTCGCCTCACAGGCAACCGACTGGTGATGACACATGATGGCGTAGGACAGGGCAACGGGGGGGAGTCAAACACATCCTCACTCTGTCCTCCTTTTTGGGGACGCAAATAGAGGCCTGTCCCCCCAAATCATCCAAACCGCCTCCTCCTTCACATCTGCACTCCGAGCGAGTCTGTTGTAGTTTGTGTCAGGATGCTGCTTTCTTTGTGGGTTCCATCTGTACAGGTTACTATTTGACCTCTAAAGTGTTTAAATCAGAAATCAGCAATGAAAATTATTCAGTTTTACATTAAAATAACTGCATTTTGTACTTTGATTTATTTCATTTGGTAATTTCTCTACAAAATATGATCAGTTCACAGTGACCTGCCTGGGGTTTACTTCAGAAAATGATTTTCCAGCACATTCCAAACAGCAAAAGTCTTCCATGTTGGTGAAATGACCGCCTCTGGGCAGCGTTTTGAACATCCAGGGGCTCGCCTGCTGATTGATGGAGCTCTACGAAATGCTCTCAGGCAGCGTAAGCATTTCTATACAGAACGCATTTGCCACTTGTCTGAACTTTGAAATGCAGCTGTCGCCCCAAGGGCACGAAACCAGCACCTGGTTCTGTCCTGCTTTACATAAAAGATGTGTACCTGTGTTTGAGCTTGTAGGTTTAGCGTTTTGCGTGAGTGAACGTCATTCCTCGGGTTTTATGTGAGTGGAACTGCAAAACATACAAGCGGGGAATAAAAACAATCAGATACTATTTTAGTTGTGTTTTTAAAGCATGCAATCTGCAGACTTCATGCACAAAGTCTGAAACCAAGCCACATTTCCCACGGTTTTCAGTCCCAAACAGGATATTACTCTCTAAGGCAGCAGCTCCTGACCCGAGGTCACATCAGACTTAGTGGACGTATTAAAAGAACTGGATTCTGTGTTCCAAGCTTCAAAATTAAAGCTTCTTTCCACGTTATAAATAAATAGCCTCCGCAAAATTCAGATTCAGTCTGGCTAATTCTCACTGGAGACTTATTACTGTCTCAGGTTTTAGAGATGACCGAAGTAGGGGTAGACTGATATATTAATCAGTCGATATATCAGGCTGATATTTACCATTTTTCTATATATCAGCATCAGCGGATATAACTCCTTAGTAGGGCTGATTTAAAGTCGTGCACATCCCCAGGCAGCCCTGTGCTGCTGCAGATTCTAATTCAAAGTGTAAGTAAAACCTAAATAACTTTTTTTTTGCTGATAACCTGTATAGATGAGTGTCTAATGGTGCCGTAGACGTGTGTAATCATTAGTGCGGCAGTTTAGTGCAACTTACTTTAATATTAATATTTCAGCCGTCTGTCCTGACGGTGACATGGTTTTTGTGCAACACAGTGGGAAAAAAAATTACTTTCAATAAAAAAAAGTTGTGGTTAAGTGTGTAAAATAATCAGCTGCAGGCAGACGTTTCTGCAGTAAAGAACCCATAAAAAACGAATGTTTCTTTCCACAAACAGCCATGAGGTCTCTCGTTTAGCCCTGGTCTGTTTGTGCATGGCAGGAATAAATGAAATATCTGGCTTAGTGTCTGGGTTCAAGGATGCGCATCATAAAGCAAGGCCTGTTGTTCTCAACAGTGCTGTATGGACAAAGAGACTAATTCATGCTTCTGCGCCAGCTCCACACACACACACACACACACACACACACACACACACACACACACACACACACACACACACACACACACACACACATTGACAGACTTCTTCAAGCTGTTTTGTGTCTGCCGCTAGATATC